TCTTTGCTTGCCTCAGTCGCGGCAATATACTCAGCCTCGGTTGTCGATAGTGCAACACACTTCTGAAGTCTTAATTGCCAAGAGACAGCTCTTCCGGTAAATCTCATCATGTATCCCGTCGTCGACTTCCTCGAGTCGAAATCTCCCCCTAAATCAGAATCCAAGTAGCCTTGCAACTCGGCTTTGCCTTCTCCAAATCGAAGACATAAGTTTGTCGTACCTCGGAGGTACTTGAAGATCCACTTCACTGCTTCCCAGTGCTCTTTGCTGGGGTTTGACAAATACCGGCTTACCATTCCAACAGCATATGCCAAGTCAGGTCTAGTGCAAACCATTGCATACATCAAGCTTCTGACGGCGGATTGGTACGGAACCTTCAGCATCTCATCTTTATCTTCATCAGATCTAGGACATTGCTTCTGGTTCAGCTTTATGTGTCCGGCTAGGGGGGTGCTAACTGTTTTGGCTTTGTCCATGCTGAATCTCTTCAGAACCTTCTCAATATACTTCTCTTGACTTAGCCACAGTAGCTTCTTCTATCTATCTCGGATAATCTTTATTCCGAGTATCTGCTTTGCAGGGCCGAGGTCCTTCATTGCGATGGACGAGCTCAACGCCTTTTTCAGGGCGGCTATCCTCGATTTGTCTTTTCCTACAATAAGCATGTCGTCAACACATAACAACAAAATCAAAAAATCTCTGGCCTCATACCTATTCACAAATACACAGTGGTCGGCTTCTGTCTTCTCAAACTTATTATCAGTCATGAATGATTCAAACTTCTTGTACCACTACCGAGGTGCTTGCTTCAAGCCATAGAGGCTCTTCTTCAACCGACATACCAAGTCTTCTTGGTCTGGAGCTCGGAACCCCTCAGGTTGCTCCATATATATCTCTTCTTCTAAATCACCGAGAAGAAATGCCGTCTTCACGTCCATTTGTTCTACCTCGAGGTCCATTTAAGCCGCCATAGATAACACGGTTCGGACCGAGGTCATTTTCACCACAGGAGAAAAAATATCCTTAAAGTCTACTCCTTTCTTCTGATTACAGCCTTTCACTACAATCTGGGCTTTGTATCTCGGCTTCTGCCCGTTCTCTTCATTTTTAATCTCTTAGACCCATTTATTTTTCAGAGCTCGTCTTCCTTCAGGAAACTCGGTCAGCTCATAAGTCTGATTCTCGTGCAGAGACTTCATCTCGTCTTGCATTGCCTTTTCCCATTCTTCTTTCTCTAAGCTCGTCATAGCCTCATCATAACTCTGAGGCTCACCGTCTTCAGCAACAACGGTGTATTCATCAGATGGGTACCTTGTAGAAGGTGTTCTTTCGCGAGTTGGATATCTCGGTTGTTCTTCAGATTGAGAACCTGGTTCATCATTCACATCCTGGATCTCATCATCAACTCGGACCTCATCATCAGCTTGTTGCTGGTCATCAATTTCTTCATTCTCTTGATTTTTTCACCCTGCTTCAGCTCGGACAAGAGGAACGGGTTCTTCACGTCTGACAGTAACCCGGACTTTGGGCTTCGAGATGTCATGATTAGTCTCATCTTCATGAAAGATCACATCTCGGCTTCTCACTATCTTCTTATTAATTGGATCCCAAAGTCGGAACCCGAACTCACATCTCGGCGAACCAAGATAAATGCATTCTTTAGTCTTTGCATCAAGTTTGGCCCTTTCATCTTTAGGGATATGCACGAAAGCTCGGCATCCAAACACTTTCAGTTGATTATAGGCCGTTCTCCGACCTGTCCAGACTTCTTCTGGAATTTCTCCTTCAAGTGGCCGTGATGGTGAGAGGTTGATTAAATCAACAGCAGTTTGACGGCTTCTCCCCATAATGATTTCAGCAATCCGACATTGGATAACATGCTCCGGACCTTCTCTTCAATAGTTCTGTTCATCTTCTCAGCAAGTCCATTCAATTGTGGAGTCTTGGGGGGCGTCTTCTCAAGTCGGATCCCGGCCGCTCTGCAGTATGCATCAAATGGGCCGCAATACTCACCACCATTATCAGATCGGACCACCTTCAATTTTTTGCCAGTCTCCCTTTCAACCATTGCATGGAATTCTTTAAAGGATTTGAGTACCTGGTCTTTAGACTTCAACAAATATACCCACACTTTGCGGGAATGGTCATTAATAAATGAAACAAAGTACTGAGCTCCTCCAAGGGATCTTTTCGACATGGAGCAGACATCAGTATGGACGAGGTCAAGAATATACCTGCGTCGTCTAGGTTGATCCGGTCTCACAAAAGAAACTCGGTGCTGCTTTCCAGCTAGGCAGTGCGTTCAACTCTCCAACGCTTGGCCTTTCAACCCGGTTAGTAATCCTTTCTTGTGCAGGATTTGGAGCCCTTTCATGCTCATGTGGCCGAGACGCTTGTGCCATAGCTCCAAGCTAGGTCCATCTTGGACAGAATTGGCTTCTCCGCCATTGATCTTTCCTTGCATCACGTACAAAGAGCCTTCTTTCTTACCTCGGGCCACGACCAAGTTTCTCTTGGCCAGCTTCCATCTAACACTACCAAAGTAGTTCACTAACCCAGCATCATCAAGCTTGCCTACCGAGATTAGGTTCAAACGCATGTCAGGTACATGCCTCACATCCTTCAACACAAGTCGGCATCCGACACCTGTGGTCAGAATTACATCGTTGACACCAACAATCTTGCTGGTCACCTGATTTTCCATCTTCACGACTCCAAAATCACCACCTCGGTAAGAGGAAAAAAAACCTTTGTTGGAGTAACGTAGAAGGAGGCACCAGAGTCAACAATCCAGGTGCAGTCATCATATGCAACATTCAAATAATTATCCTCACTAAGGAGGAATATCTCGGCATTCGAGTTTGCAGCCACTGCAGTGGTGCTCTTGTCTTCCCTCTTCTTGGGAATAATCTAATCCGGCTTCACAGAGCCATTATTCTCATCATTCTGCAAAGTCCAGCAGTCTGGCTTCTTATGTCCTGTCTTTCCACAGTAGAAGCACTTCAACTCGTATTTCGGCTTTGACCGACCTCTGGACTTTCCTCTTCTATCTCGATCTCGACCGCAGCTTTTACTTCTACCCCGGGAGTCGGATTTCCCTTTGTTCTCTGCAACGTTGGCCTCAGATGTGTTAGACACACCTCGTTCTCTTCTCCTGACTTCTTCGCTCAGGAGGCTATCGGTTATGACATCCATCTTCAACTTTCCTTCTGGAGCTGAATTACTCAAAGTCACCACCAGAGTATCCCAGGTTTCTGGCAGCGAGCTCAACAGCAGCAAAGCCTGCATCTCGTCATCAATTTTCATCTCAGCTTTTGACAGCTGTTTCACAACACCTTTATAGGTGTTGAGGTGTTCAATCATGCTCATGTCGTCCTTGTATTTCAAGCTTCACAAGTCGGCGAACCAGGTATGCTTTGTTCCTGGGAGTCTTCTTCTGAATCATGGACTCTAGCTTCGTCCACAACTCATACGCGTTCAAAAACTCGGACACCTGCTCAAATAGGCTTTTATCAATATATCTCATGATCGTGGCTACCGCCTTCCGACTCAGGATCTCCCACTCCTTATCAGTTTTACCTGTCGGTCTCTCATCAAGGATAATGGGCTCATGCAAATCTTTGCAGTGGAGATGATCTTCCATCATCGGTCTCCAATATGTGAAATTGTCTGTGGTCAGCTTAAGCATGTCTCCATCATTGGTTATGCCACTGGTCTCCATCTCGTCTCCCTCAGAACCCGTCGAACCAGGCTTTGATACCACTGTTGGGAAATCAGTTCCCTCAAGCTCGGCTAAGCAGCCTTTGTGCGGAAGTCAATCAACAAGATCCTCGATCTCGGATCTCGGCAATACCTCGGCCTGAACTTCACCAGGTTGGGCAACGCAGCGGAAAATAAAAAATGTAAACAGGAGAGAGAGAACACAAGCAGTTTTTAATGTGGAAAAACCTTCTCCAATGAAGAAGTAAAAACCCACGGGACCTAGTCCAGATCAAGAATCCACTATGAAAATAATGGTTATAAAGAATAAAATACACCAATGTGGTGGTTAACTCAACCTCTCCAACAATGGTGAAAATCAAACTACCCTAGAGATGTTTCACTCAAACTCTCTCTAGAGATCTCTCAAATGTAAAACATAAAACTTTGCTTAAATAATCAAATAATTATCTTTCAAATTTTTTTCTCTCACTTCTTAACCTAGCCTCCACCCTCAACTAATGAATATATAAAGGAAGTAGAATTTAAGTTTAGAGTTTTTGGAAAACCCATCAATGAACTTTGGCTTAGCATTGAAGGAAGAAGCCCAACAACTTTTTCGACATGAACCTTGAATTTATCTTGCGAACATATAGCATAAAGAACAAATAACAAATTCTATAAACCAGGAAAAAAAGTACTACGAGAATCCTCAATTCAAGCAAATGTCAAACTTCTTCATAAACCCATGTGAATTTTTTTTTTTTTAAAGTAGCAAGTGATTTCAACCCAACAGAGAGGTGGGGTTACTTGTTTTGATATTCATAAATTTATGGGATTATTCTCGTAATTTGAATTTATTTTTTTATTAATATTTTATCTTTAATTAAATATAGACTTAAAAAAATTTAATCAATTTTCCGATAATATTCTACCTGCCAAGTATCAAATATCTTTTTTTCAACTTTTCTTTGAAGTTGATTTTTCTACTATATTCTTAATAATTATATTGCACTCTATTCAAACGCACGTAGAAGACTCCAATCTAATTCCCCTGTTCAGTGGGCAAGGGTGGAAGTAGTATCCAGCTCATTCCTGCGACATCGACTTCACACCAACCTTACTGTTAGAACACAAACACACACTCTTACTTACACACTATATGCTAAGTAGTAAGCACCATCATTTATATAAAAGGGCATCATTTATGACTCATTATTCATCAAAACTAAACTAGAAAAACTATTTCTCTCGCTCTTTTACTTTCTTTCTCACACTCACACTCACACCTCAAACAACCAATGGAGTATGGAAGGTTGGGACCCACCGACCCGGGTGGCTCCACGCGCTCCGACGCACCTCTTACCAATCCGCCAAGATCCTCCGGCGAGAAGAAGATCATCTTCCTCTCACTCCTCGCCGTCGTTCTCATCGTCGCCTCCGCCGTTTTAGTAACCACCGTCCGCTCCCGCCTTTCCGGCGAGGATAAAAACGGGCCTCACTCACGCGCGAAGCCCACACAGGCAATCTCTCGCACGTGCAGCAAAACTCAGTTCCCAACTCTATGCGTGAACTCACTCCTCGATTTCCCAGGTTCCACGGCGGCGTCGGAGAAGGACCTCGTCCACATTTCCTTCAACATCACCCTCCAGCGACTCACCAAGTCTCTCTACTCCTCCGCCGCCATCTCCGCCACCATGAACTCTCTCGTCCGCGCCGCCTTCGAAGACTGCCTCGAGCTCCTCGACGACTCCATTGACGCCCTCGCACGCTCCCTCACCTCCCTCGGTTCCTCCTCCTCCTCCTCCGACGTGGTGACGTGGCTCAGCGCCGCCCTAACTAACCAGGACACTTGCGCGGAGGGGTTCGCCGACACGAGCGGCGCCGTCAAAGATCAAATGGCCAACAACCTCAAGGACTTGTCGGAGCTGGTGAGTAATTGTCTCGCGATATTCTCTGCCTCCGGCGCCGGCGACGACTTCTCGGGTGTCCCCATACACAATAAGAGACGATTAATGGCAATGCGAAACGATAATTTCCCGAGATGGTTGAATAGACGAGATAGGAGATTGTTGAGCTTGCCCGTGTCGGAGATACAAGCCGATATTATAGTGTCGAAGAGTGGCAATGGAACGGTTAAGACTATCTCCGAAGCCATTAAGAAGGTTCCGGAGTACGGTGGCCGGCGCTTCATTATCTACGTCAGGGAAGGAAGGTAAAAATCCACTCGTCTTTTTCTTTCATTCCCTTTATACCACTTTTTTTAATCATTTCTCTTTTTGTTAATAGTTTTATATTAACTAGTGAAGTGATTGCGTTGTTGACTTGTTTTGGGATTAATAATAATCATGCATGCACTTGCTTGCAACTGTAATCATGTGAATGTAATATCGTTATGATAATGAATTCCTTTTCATATACACTATATATATATATATTTACTAATTGATTTTAATTGACATCTACTTGACCCCTCTTTATAAATTAATAAAATTCCGTTGTTTTTATTTTTTTATTAAATTAATTAGGTTATAGTATAGTTGTTTTAGGCGAATATATAAAAACGAAGCGTGTGTGGTGTTGACTGGGTTGCAATAGATAAGAGTAGTAACATTTTATTGGTGCAAATTACATTTCAGGTACGAAGAGGAGAAGTTAAAGGTGGGGAGGAAGAAAACCAATGTGATGTTCATAGGGGACGGGAAGGGTAAGACGGTCATCACGGGCGGTAAAAATGTTAAGGAGGGCTTGACCACATTTCACAGCGCATCCTTCGGTAAATTCCATACTCTTTTCCCTCAATGCTTTTTTTTTTTTTTTTTTGGATATCTTTTTCCCTCAATGCTTGTTACTACACGTTTATGAGTTTAGTGAAACTTAAAAAGTATAAAATAAAATAAAAATATTTAAGAAAACTATAATAGAGATATGTTTAATTAATTCAGGTAAAATTTATAAAAGTAAAATAAAAAACTTTTAAATTATAAATAATTTTAAAAAATAATTCAAAAATAACATGTGTTATAATTTTTTTAAAAAAACTTATCAACCAAAAAAAAAAGCACTTAAGAGACTAAGTTATTTACAAAAAAATATATACTTTAAGTCAACGCATAGAAATAAATTATTACAACAAGTTTGAGTTTTTTTTATTATTAGTATATAAAAAAGGAAAAGAAAAAAGAAAAACTAAGAAAGGAAAAGTCCAAAACTATGCACGACACGAGGTAGAGCAGTGCGACTGCGAGTAGCACGTGGTCTGCTGCTCTAGGTTGTCATATTTTAAGATTCGTTGGTGTCAACAGTTTTAGAAACTAACTTACGCGCCGATTGATTGGCGAACTACAAAACATGGAAACTCCCTTCTCCTCAATCAAAAATGTTTTTTTCTTTTTACCAAATAAATAAATAAAATGTTTTCTTCTTGGTGACGTTTCAGGGATCTCTATGTCCCTAATCGAAGTCGGTTTTCATAGTTCACTTGTTCTTTTTTCTTGAACCTTCCTCCTATAATGTATAAAAAAAAACAAAACTACATTCTCACTAATTTGGGAGCAGTAACAACCTTAGCATGAGAAACCCAACAGCTGATAAAACTCTAACGGAGGGCGTGCAGTGTATTTTATTTAAGAAAAAAATATTTGTCATTTTTAATTACATAATTTTATTTTATTTTTAATAAAATGTTATTTTAATATGTTTTTGCATTCTTTTTTCTATAATTTTCCCTAATTTTATAAAAAATAATGTAAAAAATCAAAAATAACCCAAAATAATATAAATTTATTAAAAATGATATAAAATTATGTTATTTAAAATAATAAATGTTTTTTATTTATTTATTAAACAAAAAATACAATACATGACTTTAATTATCATCATAGAGTAATCATAAACATTTATGATCTTATCCTCTAACGAAGGGCTCCAAATTAAAGTTCCAAAAGCAACTTATTGTTAGTGGGTCATTCAATTGCAATACCTGACAAATTGAGAAACAATATCGTATTCTTATCCAACATTAGTAACAGAATTTTCCTAAATATTTATTAACACTAATTCCATTTTCGACCACTTTCAAGTTTCATATATATACATGATAATACTGATCCTACGGTGCAGCTGCTAGTGGTGCTGGTTTCATAGCAAGAGACATGACGTTCGAGAACTACGCCGGGCCGGGAAAGCACCAAGCGGTGGCCCTCCGTGTCGGAGCGGACCATGCGGTGGTGTACCGCTGCAACATCATCGGTTACCAGGACACAATGTATGTGCACTCAAACCGTCAATTCTTCCGGGAATGTGACATTTACGGTACGGTGGACATGATATTCGGCAACGCCGCCGTTGTTTTCCAAAACTGCAGTCTCTATGCTCGCAAGCCCATGCCCCAACAGAAGAACACCATCACGGCCCAAAACAGAAAGGATCCGAATCAGAACACGGGTATTTCCATCCACAATTGTCGGATCCTGCCCACCCCGGATCTGGAAGCATCCAAAGGTAGCTTCCCAACCTATCTGGGTCGTCCATGGAAACTATACTCTAGAACTGTGTACATGTTATCATACATGGGGGATCACATTCATCCACGTGGATGGCTGGAATGGAATGCAACCTTTGCTTTAGACACATTGTATTATGGTGAATACATGAATTATGGGCCGGGTGCAGCCGTTGGCCAACGGGTCAAGTGGCCCGGGTATCGGGTCATCACGTCCACCGATGAAGCAAGCAGATTCACGGTGGGCCAATTCATAATGGGCTCGTCGTGGTTGCCCCCCACCGGAGTTGCATTCGAAGCTGGATTATCCACCTGATTGCCATGTTGGTCCATAGTTTAAACCAACCCAATTGGCCAATATATTTTTATGAATGGGATAGGATATTATGCATGTTATTTTTAATACCTATTCTATCTACTCCTTTCTAATATTATTATATCAGAATCTCAAAAGAAGAAAAATAAATAATGAAAGTTAGTTGAGATTCTGATTTCACAATGTTCGAAAGAAGTAGATAAAATAAACTTAAACAATAATAGGTATATTATGTAAAAAAAATAAAATAAAAAACAATAATAGGCATAATATCATATTCCATCTTTCTTTTTTTTGGTAAACAAAAGGCCTAAGCCCATCAAACAAACAGACAAAACAAACTAAAACCTACAAACTACTGTCCTAGATCTACCTTAAATCACCAAACAACAGATTCTGAATGCCAGGAGGAGGATCACGCCAAATTTTAAACGGAATGTGATCTTCCAAATCCAGAATATAATTTGTCATCCAATCAACACAATCATTCACCAGCATCTGTTTAACCATGTCCGTATTCGAGCTATCAAATGACACTCACGGACTGCTGCACCATTCATGGTAAGCACAGTGATCACATTGGATGAATCACTTTCGATAATTATGTTGCGATACCCCTCTCTCCAAGCCAACTCCAAACCCGGAAGAACTCCCCACAACTCAGCTTTGAAAGAGGAACAAGAACCCAATCTATAAGAAAACCCCCCAACCACCTCCCTTGGGCATTACGAATCATATTCCATCTTTAATTTGTAATTGTACCAAACTAAATATAGTTTTTTTTTTCATAATGCCCTTTTGTTTTTTACCCCAATGATAAAAGTAAGAAATATAAGTTGTAAAGACTGTTTATTATAATATATAGATTCTTTTTTTTTTTTTTTTTGGAAAATTTATCTAATTGTAATAAAAAAAATTAGACATGTTTTTCCAATTAAAAAATAATTTTTATTAAGAAAAAAAAACTAAACAAACAAACCCTTAAATTGCTTAGGAAGAGTGGAAATGATATTGACAAAGTAAAAATTTAACTTATCTCATATATTATTCATAGTTTGACACATTCGATTTTTGTTTAACTCATCCCCGTCTTGGAAATTTGCGATGTATTTTCCTGGCCAAAATTATTAAATAACTGCAGGAAAACACAATGGTTTTTTGTTTTCCATTTTAGGGCTTGGATGTGGAAGTTTACGTTGGCTTATTATTGCAATTACTTGGAAACTTCCTTGGAGCATGCATGGCAAGCCATTAATCAATGGGGGCACCAGATATAAGACATCTCACATGGGGTGTGACCGTGTGTGAGTGGCCATCTAGTTCCCATCCACGTTTAGGTTCAACCGACGACTTTAAGGGACCGGGTAAAACTTTTCTTGTGGCAAGTCCAACATGGATATTGTAGACAACATGAGAAGGCTAACCAATCTCAACTTTCTGAAGAACGTCGTGATAATGTAAGAGTGTGAAATACCTTGGTTTCATCTTGTTTTTAATAGAAAATAAAAGAAAATTAGAACTCCTAAATTAAGCAAGGAATCATGATTTAATGATATTTTTAATGATGATATCCATTAAATTAAGATAATCTTCATTATTCTTGTGTGTTTTCCAATGATCGAAATTAGTTTTGGACAAAATATTTTACAAAAGGAAAAATATTTCTGCTTTTGTTTAAGGGTTCACTTTTTCTACGGTTAATATAGATAAGTTATCTACATTGAACCCAAAACGACGTCGTTTTAGAACAAAAATCAAGGTAATTTTGTAATTATAATTTAATTCAGGGTTATAATAGTCTTTTTTATTATAATTTTTTAATTTTTCAACTTAAAACGACGTCGTTTTGGGAATGAATGTAGATAACTTATCTACATTTACTGTAGAAATATTAAAGCCTTTGTTTAAAAAAAAGAAAAGTTTTTATGCCACATTCACAAAAAGTGAGTTCCACTAATATTTCTCTCTCTCTCTTCTCACTCACTCATTTTTATGTGAGTGTGACAGAGAAAAATTTTATGCAGTAAAAACAAAAATATTAAGCTCATTTTGCGAAAATGGTTTAATATTCGTGCTTTTATTATAGAATTTTTTTTTTGGCACACTCATAACAAATTTTTTGGCACATTCACATGAAAGTGAGTACATCTCATTATAAAGAGAAAATATTAGTGCTTTTCTATAGAAAATTTTTCTTGTCATACTACAAAAAATATTAATAGATGTCAGTCACTTTTATACGAGTGTGACAGATCATAGTGAAATTAGAAACATTTTTTCCCTAAAAAAAATAATTCCCATTCTGTCCGTCTTCCTGAAAAAATTTCATATGAAAGTTTATGGAGTTGGATCTTTAGCAATGTTATTAAAACTGGCCCGGTCGACTGAGTCACTGGATCATTGGTTCAACCGCATGACCCGGTAATTATATGCAATTTTATAATTTAATTAAAAAATTATAAACATACTCAAATATCTAAAAAAAAGACAAAAAATTCAAATTTTTTAATATAAAAAGTAACAAATCACATATTATTATATAATAAAGGATAAAAAAAAAAATATAATGATCGTGATACGAGGCTTTAGATTCAGAAAATAACGTCTCTAACTATAAATCAAATCAAAATTTTCTGCATTGTGCATAATTGAGATAATATTAGTGTTGTAGGTACATAATTTATGTAATTCAATAAGCAAAAAAATATTCAAATATGTTCATTATGATTCTTTTTGAAACAAAAATTTGGAATTTTTTTTTGGGCATCGATTAACCGACCGGGTCACCAGTTTTCATGAAAACCAACTGGGTCGCACCGGTTCTGATGCATGGCCGGTCCGTTGCTACAACCGAACCGGTTATATAACCGGTTTACCGATTCTAAGATCAACCCAGCTGGGTCGGTCCAGTTTTATGAACACTGGTCTTGAGACCAAAATCGCTTCAATCGCATCTGCACAACACACAAAATACGAAAGCAACACACAATAGCTTGCATTGTTCTCTCAGGCATTCAGGTGGCAAAGAAGACTCATTGTTGCGCACCCTGTTGCATCGTGCCAAAAACTCATTATTTTTTGGGCTGTTGGGTTTCCAAGCAGTGGATTCTTATATTTGGGAGTAGAGATGTGTAAAAAAAGCTGGTTCATACTCTTGATCTGACTTATAAATTCTTTTTTTTTTTGAACTGGTTTAAATATTGAACCATTTATATTTGGGTCAGTTTTAGACTGGACTTGTTTTAATAATTGACCCATTGACCCAAAATTTGACCCAGACCCATTTTGTGAAAAAAAAAATCAAAAATCACCGTAAGGCAATTTGGAGCTTAGGTTATCTCTTCTCTCGATAAGAATGGAAACAAGCTTGTTGAGTGTTGGAATACGAGCCAAGGCAACTTGTGTGTTCTAAGTTTTAATAGTACTATCACAAATATGGTAGAGAGAGAAATTAGATCATATCATATGAGTGATTGGAGATCAATGTGAAAATATATCTGGGATCCAATGACTTTGAATCCAGAAGGGGTTACAAATTCACATGCTTTGATTTTGATACAACATGTGATAGGATAATAGTTATTCTGTCTACCTAAAGATTTTATGTGTTATAAGCCTCCAAGATTCCATGGGGACGGGGTAGTCAAGAAATGGAAAAGATTGTAGAAACTAGTGTTGATTAAATAAGAGTTAGTCATACTACAGAAATTGTTCGTAAATATTTGTTAATTTTAATTTCTTACATTGAGTAAATGGAATCCTTACGTTGATATTTTATGGGATAATTTTATGTTTGGATTGTTTTTTTTAACTCATCATCAATTTGGAGGTTTTTAGTGATCCAATAAAATTATTATAATTGCTAATTGCAAATATCAATTATGAGTTAGAATGAGCTACCCATGGACTAGTAATATTAGAACTTTTTTGAAGAATTGGTATTTATTCAACAAATATCAAATTTATTATATAATTGATATATTTTAAAACAAATAAATAATTCAATTACTTGAATTTAAAAATTAAATCAATAACTATAAAAAAATAAATAAAAAACAAGTTTTGAAATCAAGTCAAAAGTGAGTCAGGTCGGATTTGACCCGATTTTGAAATCAAGTCAGGTCAGATTAGATCCAGTTCTGAACTAATTAAAAAAAATTCAAATCAGGTCAGACCTGACTTAGATCAATTTAAATTGAGTCGGGTCAAAATACTTGACCTATAAAACCAAGTTGGATCAGGTCGACATAAAAACCCGACCTGACTGACCCATGCACAACCCTATTTGGGAGCCGACAAAAGTTGCGAATGTATGAATAATTTTTCAATAACGAAGTGACTCCTAGGGTTATTAAAGAGAGCTAATGTTACGAACCAAAATAAATAAAAATGAGAATGTAGTTTCATTTGAGGAAGCTTGACGCAAATCCTAAACCTCAAATGGCTCACAAGTATTCTTTGGGATAACTTTTCTTATCTAATATGGTAATTTTTATTTCAATATTTTAAGGTTTAAATAGATAAGATGAGTCAATTATAAAAATAACCATCCACTAAGATCAAATTGATTCAACTAATAACAAAACAAGAAAAATAACTACCACTGCTTAAACAACCCGATAATTCAAAAAAAATAAAGTAACATAAATAAAACCGTAACATCACACTTCATTGATTCATGAGCAAAGAGGACAAAGTCATTATTAATATATAAAAACATTCAGATCAGCATTCTTCTCTTAACAATTTTAATAGAGTTTTTTCTTCTTATTCTTTGTTTCATGGTTTTCTAAGTTTCTTATAGTTAAGGATTGAATTGTGTCTTTTTTTTTTTTTTATTGAATCTTGTTGAACAATTGTTTCACCTATTTTTCAGTTATTTTAATTATACTTTTTTATAATGCTTTCTTTGGGTAATGATTTTGGCGACTGAATTCAGATTATGCATAACAATATAAATGTTGGTGTAAAACTCAAACTTAATAATTAATCATTATTTGAATTGATTTAACGAT